TCCACTCTCTCTTCCTCCCCCTTCATTTGCTCCCGTGTGCTCTGATCAGACATGTCCCTCTCCCTGAGCTGCAGCTTCAGTGCCGTCCTCTCAAATAAATCCTTCTGGGGGAGGGGCAGGTGTCCACGTAGTTGGGATTGGGACTGGCCCCTCAGACCTCTCCACTGGTTCACGTGAATATTATTATTGCTCCTCTTATAGCCTTGTCTATTGTTTTATTGTAATTTGAGCTACAGGGATACGCTCAGTATTAGACAAAGTGTGACCAAGGGCCATAGCCTCAGGGGTTCCATCAGATTCTATCCAGCTAATAAACTTTCAAGATTTTGAGTTTGTCCCAATTTTTAATCTATTATATCTAGGACCTTTTAATGTGATCCTTCTTAGAGCAGTTGTAGTGGTAGACGGGTACCACCTAGTTTTGGTTTCAAGCGTTTTGGAAGCTAATATTTACATGATCACCAGTACAGTGGAATATTGGTTCCCATGTATCATAGATTTTCATCACTCTTCTTTCCTCTACACAGGGAAAACCAACCTTAGATGACCAAACACAAGCTTTTAAGACCTAGTCACTAATTAACCTAAGACGGATCCAGAACATGTCTTTCAATTGACCTTGTGTCTTCTGAGACCATGGTCATAAGCCTCCAGGACCAGCAAACCATTCCCTCAATGATACCTTTGTTTGATATCACGTCCTTGGTTGAGAAAATGCTCAATTATGACCCACCCTATTAGAAAATCTTCTTTGATAACACTTTTAGAAAATAATGAAACTATGAACAGAGTATGAAGAATTGTAAGTTTGATAGGAGAAATAAATATTCTTGAAATTAGTATTTCCTTCTCCAATTTTCATTCCTTTGATTTTTACATGTCCACTTTAAAACAAATGATGTCAGAAATAAAGAAGGAGAAATGATTTCTTGCTATAAATTTTCCTCTTCTGGAACCCACAGATTGAGAAAAAATAACTAGAATATGTAAGAAAACTTCAACACTTCAACAAAAGATGAATTACGCCCATTTAAAAGTGGGCAGAGTACACAATGAGACAGTTCACCAAAAATGGCATTCAAGCAACCAACAAACACAAAAGAAAAAGTCTCAATCACTAGCCATCCAAGTGATGCACATCAAAACAATGAGAGAACACCTCACCTCAGAACTGACAGCAAAGTTTTAAAAAGCAGAAAACAACAAATGCTGGAGAAGGTGAGGAGAGAACGAAACATTCATACACTGCTAGTGAGATTGTAAAACAGTACAACCGCTGAGGGTAGGGGCACAGCACTTCTTCAAACAAATGGGAACAGAAATATCATATGACCCAGCAATCCCACTATTTGGTATAAAGACTACAGAAATAAGGAGCAAAACCAGATATATGTTCACCCATGTTCATTGCAGCACTACTCACAACAGCAAGCAGATGGAAACAACCTAAATGCCACTGAGAGAAGAATGGATAAACTTTGGTACATACCCACAATGGAAGACTACACATCACTGAAGAAGGACGTAACTGTCACGTCTCATGACATGGATGGATTTGAAGGACATTATGTTGAGTGAAATTAGTCAATCACAAAAAGATAACTATTACATGAGACTACTGTTATATGGGGGGGGAAATAAAAGGTTTCCATACCAAAAGAAACTAACTTTAATGGTTACCAGGAGTGGGAAGGGGAAAGAGGGAAAGAAAGTAATAAGCTAGAGGGTAGACAAGTGTTAACTTTTAGGTGAAAGGGTAATATCTCCTTTGGAAAATGAGAATAAGGGAGCAGGGGGCAGGGAAAAATAATACTCAAGCCTCAATGGACACACACACACATACATTTTCATCTGTTGGATAAAGTAAAGTTCTACATCCTATCGTGATAAAGTATATTTTCTCGACTCATTTCCTGCAAAGTCCAAACTGATTCCATATGGCCAAATCCATGTGTTTCATGTTCACTATCATGTGTTTCATGTTCACTATCTCCAAGTTTAAAAGGAAAGGGTGTGTAAGCAGGTTTGCAAACTGGCTTCTACTCAGTTTTAAAGTCAATCAATACCTTTACTTAGTAACTGTAACAGAAGCTGAGCTGAAGAACTGTTTTAAATAAAAGAACTATTACTCAAAATAGAGTAACAAACACACTTTATGAAGCTGAGCAATGACTCTTTAGAGTAACACATACCTGAGGGACCATCGCCACCCTCTGGTTCCTTTTAGGAGACCTTGTACTTATTTGCCTGTCCTCTTCGTCAGAAAAGAGTCGACTTCGCTTCGAATTTCTGAAAGGCTACGGTGGAAATTTTGTTTTCAATAGTTTTAATGCGACATAATCCAAATATCATACAAATCAATAGTTCCATCATATCAAGAAGTATTGTAAAATCACTACCACAATCAATTTTAGAATTTTTTCTTGTACTCCTTGCTATTAGCTTATTGCCCCAATTTTTTTCCATTAATTAAAAAGCTGAGCATATTCCTTGTTTATTCTAGAATATATGCCTATATTTGAAAAGTATAGCTAACTCTAGACCAGCGGTTCTCAACCTGTGGGTCACCATCCCTTTGGGGGGTCAAATGACCCTTTCACATGGGCCACCTGATTCATAACAGTAACAAAATTACAGTTATGAAGTAGCAACGAAAATAATTTTATGGTCACCACCACATGAGGAACTGTACTAAAGGGTCAAGGCATTAGGAAGGTTGAGAACCACTGCTCTAGACTATCAGCTATATGGAAAGACAAAGAAAGGGTCATACAAAGCACACAGTATCAATTATATTAGATTTAGAAAGCAGTAAGATATCTATTTGTATAATCCATTTATTAATGAAATACTTAGGTGAGGACTGAACTAAAGTCCTATTCTCCATAGTGCACTGGTACCCATGAATGGTGAAAATAAAGATTAAATTCGGGAAATTCTAACTCATTATGTTGGCATATAGGTTAATAACAGTTGATTATAGCACATGATGTATCTGAATAGGGCTAGGCTAGTGGTAAGATACCAGATTATTCTAGAACAGTACCCCCAAAATACTGTCACCCCAAGATACATATTATACTAGTTATGCTGTCAAAAGTATTAACTGAGCTTCCATTTGTGGACATAAGTGTAAGATACATATAAAGGATACCTGTTAGGTACCCGTACAACATTTAAAAATAAAAAGAACAAACACATTATGAACTTGAAAGTTTTATAACATGAAAAATCCACAGTGTATCCTAGATTCAGAGAGGGTTTATTGTTATTTATAGATTTATTTATTTAATCATTTTACTGGGGACTCTTACAGCTCTTATAGCATGCCATACATCAATTGTATCAAACATATTTGTACATATATTGCCATCATCATTTCCAAAACATTTTCTACTTGAGCCCTTGGTACAAGCTCCTCTTTTTACCCCTCCTCCCCCATCCTCATGAACCCTTCATCAATTATATAGTGTATTATTTCATATCTTACAATGTCCCTTGTCTCCCTTCACCCACATTTGTTATTTGTCCCCTTCAGGGTGGGGGTGGGGTATATATCCAACCTTGCGATGCGTTCCCCTTTCTCCCCCTTCCCCCTCCATTGACATCCCCCTACCCTCCTGATATTACTATTCCCACTACAGTTCCTGAGGGGTTTTTCTGTCCTGAATGCCACGTGTCTAGAGCTCTTCTCTGTACCAATGTGTGTTCTCCAGTCTAGCCAGATCTGTAAGGTAGAACTGAGTCATAGTAGTGGGGGGTGAGAGCATTCAGGAACCAGAGAAATGATGTGTGTTTCATCAGTGCTATACTACACCTTGGTTGAATCATCCCTTCTTTATAACCCTTCTATGGGGGATAACCAATTGTCTACAGATGGGCTTTGGGTCTCTACTCCAAATCCCTCGGTTCACATCAATATAGTTGTTTGTTTGGGATCTTTTGATACCTGATACCTGATCCCTTTGACACCTCATGATCACACAGGCTGGTGTGCTTCTTCCATGTGGGTTTATTTGCTTCCCTGCTAGACAGCTGATTGTTTAACCTCAAACCTTTTTCTTTTTTAAATCATCATTTTATTGGAGGATCTTACAACTCTTATCACAATCCATACAAACATCCATGTGCCAATCACAATTGTACATATGTTACCATCATCATTTTCAAAACATTTTCTTTCTACTTGAGCACTTAGTATCAGCTCATTTTTCTCCCTCCCTCTACCCTCCCTCCCATGTGAACACTTGATTTGTAAAAAAAATTTTCAGTTCTTACATCGACTGTTGTCTCCCTTTACCCACTTTTCTGTTGTTCGTCCCCCCCCCTCCCCACACCCACCTATGTGTGTTAATGTCGATCATTGTGATCGGTTCCCCCTTTCTCTCCCAACCTTCCCCTTATCCTCCTGGTATCGCTGCTCTCATTATTGGTCCTGAGGGGTTTATTTGTCCTGAATTCCCTGTTTTGAGCTCTTATCTGTACCAGTGTACATGTTCTAGTCTAGCCAGATTTGTAAGGTAGAAATGGAGTCTTAATAGTGGGGGGAGAAAGCATTGAAGACCTAAAGTTGTGTAGGTTTTTTTTAATTAAATACTTTTATTGGGGGCTCTTACATCTCCCATCACAATCCACACACTCATCCAGTGTGTCAAGCACATCCATTGTCAAGCACCTATTTGCCATCATCATTTTCAAAGCAGTTTCTTTCGACTTGAGCCCTTGATTTCAGCTCATTCCCCCCTCTTTCTCTCATGAACCCTTGATAAGTTAGATTATTATTGTCATATTTTACATTGTTTTCTGTCACCCTTCAGCCACTTTTCTATTGTTCGTCCCCGCTGGGAGGGGGTTATATGTTGATCCTTATGATCGATTCCCCTTTTCTCCCCCAACCCTCCCCTTCCTCTCCTGGTATTTCTATCCTCATTGTTGGCCCTGAGGGGTTTATATTTCCTGGATTTGTAAAGTAGAATTGAGGTTACAATAGTGGGGGAAGGAAGTATTAAAGAACTAGAGGAAAGTTGTTTGTTTCACCCTGACTGGCTCATCTCTTCCTGTGACCCTTCTGTGGGGGGATGTCCAATTGTCTACAGATGGGTTTTGGGTCTCCACTCTGCACTCCCCCTCATTCACACTGATAAGATTTTTTTGTCTGGGTCTTTGATGCCTAATACCTGGTCCTATCGACACCTCATGATCACACAGGCTGGTGTGCTTTATTGCTTCTCAACTAGATTGCTGCTTGTTTATCTTCAAACCTTAAGACCCCAGATGTCCTATCTTTTGGTAGCTGGTAACCATCAGCTTTCTTCACCACATTTGCTATGCACCCATTTTGTCTTCAGCGATCGTATCAGGAAGCTGAGCATCACGTACTGCTATGTTATTAGAACAGTGTTCTTGCATTGAGGGAGTACTTGAGTAGAGGCCCAATGTCCGTCTGCTACCGTAATACTTAACATATAAGTATATGTACATAGATCTATTTCCCTATCATTATAATATATTTACATATGTACATGTCTGTATTCAAACCTCTACAAATGTCCTTTGCCTCCTGGTTCGTTCCTCTATTTCCCTTTACTTTCCTCTTGTCCCACTATCATGTTGGATCTTCATTTGGGTTTCAGTAATTCCTCTCAGTTACATTGCACTTGATCAACCCCCACCAGCCATCCTACTCCCTCCTCATCATCAATTTCAGATCACTTGTTGTTCCCTTGTCCCTGGGTTAGTTGACAACTGCCTTTCTTTACCGTACCTCCCCCTCTCCCGTGCCCCCCCCACAGAACTGCCAGTCCTGTTTTCTCCTCCCAATTGTTTATCCCACCTATCTTCTCTAAATTGTTTATCCCACCTATCTTCTCATGCAAAAACAATAAACACACAAACAAAACAAAGCAAAATAAAACAACAACAAAAAAGAAAAACCTATAAATAGTTCCAAGTATGTTTGTTGATCTCTGTGAGTGTTTTCCAGTTGAGTGGAATGGGGTGCCATACCCTGGCCCCAAAGTCTATTTTTGGTATTCCTCAGGGACTTCATTGTTTTGCTTCACTTGCTGCTGTTGCACGCCCTTACTGTTTCGTCCAGGTGTGGTGGGGTCAGATCAGGCACAATTCCCACACTGTGTCTCCAGTGTTGTCCCCTGTAGGGCTATGGGTCAATGAGAGACATTGAGTCTTGTGGTGGGTCTGGCCCTATGGTCCTCTCTGTGCATCGGCTGTTCCAAGCAGGAATATCGCCCTTGAGGCTTGGGGGGCCAGGATGTGTTCCAATCTCTCTCCTTCCCTCTTCATTTGCTTCTGTGTAACCTCAGGACTTAAGACCCCAGATGCCATAGCGTTTGATAGCCAGGCACCATCTGCTCTCTTCACCACATTTGTTTATGCACACATTTCGTCTTCAGCAATTATGTAGGGAAGGTGATTATCAAGGAGTGCCAGGTTATTAAAACAGTGTTAAAAAAAAAATTAAAAAAACAAAAATATAACCGATAGTTCTAGGTCTGTCTGCTGACCCTTATGTATGCTTTCTGATCAAGTCTGATGAAATGCCACTTTCCCTCAAGTCAGAAGTCTTTTTTCAGGATTCCTCGGGGACTTGGTTACTTTGCTCCTCTTGCACTCCCTTTGCATTTTACCCCACTGTGTGCATGGGGCAGACTGGGAACAATTTCCACAGTGTCTCCAGTGCTGTCCCCAATAGAACTATGGGTCAGTGAGGGAATGTGTCTCGTGGTGGGGTCAGCCCTATGGTCCTCTTTGTGCATTGGCTGCTCTGAACAGGAATGTTGTCCCCGGGGCTTGGTGGGCCATGTTGAGGTCCCCTCTCTACACCCCCTTCCCCCAACCTTTGTTCGCTCCCATGTGGTCTAGACAGACCCGCCTCTCTCCCCAGGCTATATCTTCAATACTGTCCTCTGTATTGCCTTCTTCTGGGGAGGAGGTCAACATAGCTCGGCTTGGGTCCAGCCCCAGCGTCCTCTGTTAATTCACTGCTCCATGCCAGTATCTTCTTGTTTGTTAATAGAGCAAAACAGTGCAAATGATAAACCAATTAAATCCACACTCTTTCTCAAATCTTTTCTCTACCACCTAAGACAGAATTTTATGCCTATGTGAAAGGAGGATAAATGCAAATGGCTTCAGATGCCTAATGCTTACATCTGGGGAAGAGTTCAACTGGGTGAAAGCAGAGGTATAGACCCTTAGAATCAAGCCAACTCAGGGTCTTAAAACTCCAGTCCTTCTATCCATTCCATTCCCCTGACCACACAGGCAGAGAGGAAGAAGGCAGTGATGACAGGGGTACTGATAAGAGTAGGGAAAGTGATACATATCCACAGTGCTCATATATCCAGGCCATCCACCTACCCAAGCTCAAAGCTTACTTCATGAATGACCTTCATATCCTCTGGCTCAGTATTATCACATCAGCCCGGGAGGAGGAAAGGCCTAAAATGACTAGTCATGCCAATTTTATAATCATCACCTCTACTTCATATCCCTAAACATATTTACTACTGACTTACACAAGAGTTTTAATAGCGTACTACTTATTTATATATATATATTTGCAGGAATCAAAGCCATGTAAAAAATTTTTTTCTTTTGTTTTTGTTTTTAATCATTTTATTAGGGGTTCATACAACTCTTATCACAATCTATACATACATCAATTGCGTAAAGCACATTTGTATATTCATTGCCCTCATCATTCTCAAAACATTTGCTCTCCACCTAAGCCCCTGGCATCAGCTCCTCATTTTTACCCCTCCCTCCTCGCTCCCCCCTCCCTCATGAACCCTTGATAATTTATAAATTATTTTGTCATATCTTGCCCTGTCTGACAACTCCCTTCACCCACTTTTCTGTTGTACATCCCCCAGGGAGGAGGTCACATGTAGATCTTTGTAATCAGTTTTCCCTTTCCAACCCACTCTCCCTCTACCCTCCCAGTATCGCCACTCATACCACAGGTCCTGAAGGGATTATCCGCCCTGGATTCCCTGTGTTTCCAGTTCCTATCTGTACCAGTGTACATCCTCTGGTCTAGCCAGACTTGCAAGGTAGAATTCGGATCATTGGGGAGGGGGGAGGCATTTAGGAACTAGAGGAAAGTTGTATTTTTCATTGTTGCTACATCCCACCCTGACTGGCTCATCTCCTCCCCAAGCCCCTTCTGTAAGGGGATATCCAGTGGTCTACAAATGGGCTTTGGGTCTCCACCCCGCACTCCCCCACTCATTCACTATGGTAAGATTGTTTGTTCTGATGATGCCTGATACCTGATCCCTTCGACACCTCATGATCGCACAGGCTGGTATGCTTCTTCCATGTGGGCTTTGTTGCTTCTTAGCTAGATGTCCGCTTGTTTACCTTCAAGCCTTTAAGATCCCAGATGCTATATCTTTTGATAGCCGGGAACCATCAGCTTTCTTCGTCACATTTGCTATGCACCCATTTGTATTCAGCGATCGTATGTATCATGGAGGTGAGCCATGTAAAAATTTTAACATATAAATGAAACCCAATTATATGAAGTTCTTGATAGTGAAATGGTTTGGTTTTTTAACTCAAAGAAATCTTCATTGATGCAACTCTAGTCATAAGCAAACTAGAAAATGTTTAGTTTGCTTAATGATGACCATATTATTGATGACTACAGATTACTTATCTAAATATGATCAAATACTGCTAATATTTAAGGAGTCAAATGCTTTCAACATAGGAACAACCGTGGAAAATTATCACTAAGCTATAAAAACTAGCCTATGACAACAATATAGACAAATTAGTTATCATTATTTTAAAATGTGAGGAAAAAGTCATTGCTTACCATATCCACAGAACTTGTATTCCTGCCTTTCCAAACTGGCGTTTTCTGTAAAGAATTGTACTTTTCATTCCACGTGTTAGATAAGCTTCCCTCTGTAATCAACAATCATTTTTAGTAATATTTTATACACTTTAATAACAGCAATATGTTTGAAATATTTGCCAATTTGAAAAAATACACTAACTGTACTTTTAGTTTAATACAAATGAGACACCTCTTCTGGATCTATTTATTTGTCAAGCTGTCTACTCTGGTAAGGCAATGCATTATAAAAGTATTAAATGCTTAGACCAAAATATAGGTGGCTTTTCTTTTTGGTTTTCAGAAGTTCTTCCTTTCTAGCTTGCTAACAACTATCTCATAAATAATCAGTACAACTCTGACTGCAATAAAGGCAAGGAAAGACTCTTCTAAGCTTAAACTTAAAGCATATTTAAAAATTTTATTTTTGTTAAATATGTGACATCCCTGATAATGAACTGAAATTAATATAGGGTTTATATTTCCTGAATTCAAATTCTAGTTGTATGCAAAGTAGAAAATGTTTATAGGCATATCATAAAAATAGGGGCAAGTTTAATTTTTTTTAAGAGTGTATTTATTGATAGAGAGGTACACAGGAAACCTGGATGAGCATACAAGAAAACATTATTTTTATTTTCTTCTATTTGCTCAAAGAGTCCTGGTAGCAGGTGGATAAGTGCTTAACTGCTAAGTAAAAGGTGGGTAGTTCAAATGCAAACACTTCACAGGAGAAAAATGTAGCTGTCTGCTTCCATAAATACTACAGAAAAAGACAACAGCCTTGAAAACAGCTTTAGGGTTGCTTTGAGTAGGAATGGATTCAATGGGAATGCATTTTATTTTTTAAATTCTATTTGCTTATTTATTAGCATCTTCTATTTTTGCTAAAAGGAATTGATATTACTTGTAGAATTTCTCCAAAGTTATATTTTTAAAAAAGGAATGTTTACTATCAGGAAAACATGTAATACTACTTTTACAAATGTTTACTTTCAAGAAGAAAATAAGAAAACCAGTGGGATGGAATTGATCACAGGATTTCTGGAAGATAAAAGCAGTCTTCCTAATTTACAAAGTCACTAATCCAGAACACAACATAGTTAGTTGGCTTTAAAGACAAAAAGTACTAATGAACTTGTGAGAATGTCTAGCTAGGCTCTAAGCTAACTCATAAGGTAAACAAAGCGATATTAAGAAAGTGGTCTAATATATCTACAGAAAAAAAAATACTATCATTGCTTTATTCCATGGGTCTTCCATTGTTACTCAGAAAAAATTTTTAAATTAACATTTCAATATACGCCGGGCCATCAAAAATTTCAGGGGAAAATGGACCTAAAAGATATGGGAATCCAGGACGGATGAACCCCCCAGGACCAGTGGTGAGAGTGGCAATACTGGGAGGGTGGATATAGAAACGGGGAACTGACTAGAAGGATCTACATATAACCCCCTCCCTAGGGGACGGAAAACAGAAAAGTGGGTGAAGGGAAATGTCGGACAGTGTAAGACATGACAAAATAATAATAATTTATAAATTATCAAGGGTTCATAAGGGAGGGGGGTAGTGGGGAGGGAGGGGGGAAAATGAGGAGCTGATATTAAGGGATCAAGTAGAAAGCAAATGTTTTGAGAATGATGATGGCAACAAATGTATAAATGTGCTTGACACAATGGATGGATGTGTGGATTGTGATAAGAGTTGTATAAGCCCCCAGTAACTTGATTAAAAAAAAAAGATATGGATTTTTCCAGGAACTTTTTGAAGCCGCTCATATATCCCAGCATAGTTGTCCACTAAATGTTTCAAGTGTAAGAGTTGTCTGTAAGGTTTAATTAGAAATTTCAATTGATAATTAAGATTAAAAATAATAACAACAACTGAGGATTTATTCTCACAAAATAACATTTGAATTCAAAGTTATTGTCAGTTAACACTGATACTTAAAAGCTTTACTGCATCATAACTTGTGGGGGGGGGGTAGCACTATATTCAAATTAATTTAATAAATGAAAATCGGAGCTTATGCCACATCTAAAAATATTTTCTTTCTTACCTTTTAAACTGACAAGGGCTTTTGCTGAAGAGCCTACAATTAAAAAGAAAACAATATTTAAAATTAAAATATGTCAATTATTTTGCAATTAAAGTGAGAGAGGGAACTTGGTAAGGGGATGAAAGTTGATTCACTTCATTTTAGTAATGCTGTGTTTTGAAATGATGGAGAGGTGTGTAGTTAGAAATTAGTAGAAGACAAGGTATCAACTAAGTCCACATGGAATAAGTATGAACCAAGGATTGTAAATAATAAAATCCAAATCCAAAAGAGGGAATAGTATCAGAGATTACATTTTGAACACCTGGTTTCCAGAAGGCTATGGATGACAGTGGAAGTGAAAAATCCATTTGCAGAGTCCACACATGGATTAAGTCTCCAGTGAACCCTCTTTGACCACCGACTAGGGATGTGAATAGCCTGATTATCAGACAGAAAGTATTGGAAAGCCGATTATGGCAGATGTAGTTAGGTTTAAATGTACTATCTTATCATTTAATCTTCCCTTTTTAACCATTTTAAAGTTGTCTCAGTTTTTTTTTAAAAGTGCAGGGGAAATACACATAGCTTACAATTGTGATGATTGTACAATTCTTCTTGGTAAGACTGAGCTATTGAATTGTATTATATGTGGATTAAGTACCAATAAAATCATTACAAAACTAATTATAATAAAATGCTAACAAGTAAAACACAAAGAAATAACTAGTAGATAATTCAAGCTATATATACTATTTTGAGAGAAATTAATAGATACTTGGTATTTTTGCTAAAGTTGTGAGAAAGATGATGTAGGGAAAAAAGGACAGAAAAAGAGAAAAGAAAGACACAACATGGGACTGTCTTCTAAAGTGTTCTGGTCCTAGAGAAGGAAATGAGAAAGGGGTCATTTATAGAAACAACTCAAGATGGATTAGAGAAGCAACAATTAGTCTTGGTGCTGGAATAGCGAATATAGAAAATGCAAATTATCCAAACTCTCATGGCAGGTAATGAGTCCCTGGGCAGCCTAGAGTGCAGACATGTGCAACATGTAAGGAAACAAGCTGAAAAGGGAGTCTAGAACAGCCATGAGGGGACGGAACAAAGTTGGAGGGATTCACCGACGAGTCAGAATAAACTTTAGTACATGTTGGAACAATCAGGAAGCTCCTCCACATGCTGACCATGTATTCTTAATAAACTCCTCAGAGGATTCTGCTACAGGTAGCCCTAGCACTTGCTTTAAGAGATACTGGGCTGCAGTGTTTCTCACTCAGTAAATAAAGGGTCTATGGGGCATAAGCAAACGTGGCGAAGAAAGCTGATGGTGCCCCGCTATCAAAAGGTATAGCATCTGGGGTCTTAAAAGCTTGAAGGTAAACAAGCGGCCATCTAGCTTAGAAGCAACAAAGCCCACATGGAAGAAGCACATCAGCCTGTGTGCTCATGAGGTGCCGAAGGGATCAGTTATCAGGCATCAAAGAACAAAAAATCATGTCATTGTGTGTTCACCCCACTAATAACGATCGTTGAAGACAAATGGGTGCAGAAGCAAACGTGGCAAAGAAAGCTGATGGTGCCTGGCTATCAAAAGATATAGCATCTGGGGTCTTAAAGGCTTGAAAGTAAACAAACAGCCATCTAGCTCAGAAGCAACAAAGTCCACATGGAAGAAGCACACCAGTCTGTGTGATCACAAGGTGTCGAAGGAATCAGGTGTCAGGCATCAAAGAACAAAAAATCATATCACGGAAAAAAAAAATCATATCACGGTAAATGAGGGGGAGTGCAGAGTGGGGACCCAAAGCCCATCTGTAGGCAACTGGACATCCCCTTATGGAAGGGTTGCGGGGAGGAGATGAGTCAGTCAGGGTGCAGTGTAGCAACGATGAAACACAATTTTCCTCTAGTTCCTAAATGCTTCCTCCCCCCACCACTATCATGATCCCAATTCTTCCTTACAAATCTGGCTAGACCAGAGGATGTACACTGGTACAGATAGGAACTGGAAACACAGGGAATCCAGGGCAGATGATCCCTTCAGGACCAGTGGTGAGAGTGGCGATACAGGGAGGGTGGAAGGAGGGTGGGGTGGAAAAGGGGAACCAATTACAAGGATCTACATATAATCTCCTCCCTAGGGGACGGACAACAGGAAAGTGGGTGAAGGGAGATGTCGGACAGTTTAAGACACAGTAATAATTTATAAATTATCAAGGGTTCATGAGGGAGGGGGGAGTGGCAAGGGAGGGGAAAAAATGAGCTGATGCCAGGGGCTTAAGTGGAGAGCAAATGTTTTGAGAATGATGAGGGCAACGAATGTGCAAATGTGCTTTACACAATTGATGTATGTATGGATTGTGATAAGAGTTGTATGAGCCCCCCAATAAAATGATTTTAAAAAAAGAGCATGGATCATAACCAAGTATGGATAACACTGAAAAGAAAGGGAATTCCAAGCTATATATACTATATTGTGCTCATGTGGAACCTGCACATGGACTAAGAGGTAGTTATTCAAACAGAACCAGGGATACTGAATAGTTTAAAATCAAGAAAAGTGGGCATCAGAGTTACATCCTGTCATCATATTTATTAGATCTGTATGTTGACATACAAGAAGCTGGACTATGTAAAAAAAGAATGCAACATCAAGATTTGAGGAAGACTCATTAACAGCCTGTAAATATGCAGATGATACAACCTTGCTGGCTGAAAGCAAAAAAGACTTGAAGCACTCACTGATGAAGATCAAAGAATACCATCTTCAGTATGAATTAAAACTCAATAAAAAGAAAACCAAAATGTTCACAAATGGACCAACAGACAACAGCATGATAGATGGAAAAAAGATAGGAGTTGTTGAGATTTCATTTTACTTTGATCTATAAACAAAGCTCATGGAAGCAACAATTAAGAAATCAAATGATGTATTGCATTGGGAAATTTGTTGCAAAAGACCTCTTTCAAAGTGTTAAAGTGCAAGATGTCACTTTGGAGGACTAAGGTGCACTTGATTCAAACCACATCTTCAATCACTTCATAGGCATAGCAACGCTGGGGAAGGAATAAGGAAGATAGAGAAGAATTGATACATTTGAATTATGGTGTTGGCGAAAATACTGAGAGTACCATGGCCTGCTCGAAAAACAAATTTGCCTTGGAGGAAGTGTAGCTAGAATGCTCTTAAGAGGTGTGGACGAAAGATTTCCTCTGAATATGTTGGCAGGAGAGACAGTGCCTAGAAAAGACGTCCTGCTTGGTAAAACAGAGGGTCAGTGGAATAAAAGAAAGCCCCTCCCTCAATGAGATGGATTGACACGATTGGTGTAAAAATGGGCTCAACATAACAACAGCTGTGAAAATGGCACAGGACCAAGCAGTGTTTCGTTCTACTGAGGCTGTGAGTCAGAACTGACACGTCAGTATCTAACAACAATTGTTAAGCAGTAGTAGGCAGTGCAAACAGCCGTGCAGATGGCACGAGTTCTGATGGTGTGTCAGGTTAAGAGCTTTGCTGCTAACTCAGAGACTGGCACTTCAAACTCACCCGGCTGTTAGCAGGAGCAAGACCTGGCAATCCTCTTTCATGAAGACTACCCACTGCCATGCAGTCATTCTTACTCATAATGACCCTCCAGGGCAAGAAAGAACTTTCCACAGGGTTTCCAGAACTGTAATCCGTATGGAACCTGACTGCTAACCTCTTGATGAACAAACCAAGTGGTTATCACTGTGCCACATGTTATTACAGCCAAGAAAACCCCATGAAACTACCATAAGGAAGCTCTACCCCTTCAAATGGTGCCACCATGAACTGGAATCAACTCAAAGTCACCCAACAAGACATTGAGAGCAATAAAGCTCATGAGAGAAAAAGGAACTATCCAATCATTCAACCAATAGTAGAGTGCGATTCTTTCATGAAATGTATATGTTAGTAAGGGGAACAAATATACAAATCAAGTAATTAGAAGCACAATGAAAATATAATATGCCCCCAAGGATGACAATCCTGCTCAGGGCAGTCTATGCACAAATAGGAGCATAGGGCCAGGCCCACCAGACACAATGTCCCTCACTGACCCGTAGTGCTACGAAGGACAACACTGGAAGCAAAGTGTGGGAACTGTGCCCATCCTAACCCCACCACACCAGGGAAAATTGCTAAGAACGTGCAACAGAGCAGCAAGGGGAACAAAGGAATGAAGTCCCAAGGGAATGCCAAAAATAGACTTTAGGGCCAGGGCGGGGCACCCCATTGGACTGGACTGGAAAACACTTCTAAAAATCAACAAACAGACCTAGAACTATTCTTTTTTCTTTTTTGGCGTTGGGCTTTTGTTGTTGTTTTGTTTTGTTGTTTGGTTTTGCTCTGCCTTGTTTTTGTGCTTATTATTGTCTCTGCATGAATGTCTTTCTAGATAAGATAGGCAGGATAAACAATCTGGAGGAAAAAAACAATGGGACCAATGGTTGAGTGGTGGCAGGGAGGTGGGAGAGGGGGCAGTGGGGGAAAGGAAGTGGGCATTTACAAAGCCAGGGACAAGGGAACAACAAGTGATTTGAAATTGAAGGCAAGGAGGGCGTAGGAGGCCTGGTAGGGCTTGATCAAGGGCAATGTAACTGAGAGGAATTATTGAAATCTCGAATGAAGGCCGGACATGATAGTGGGACAAGAAGAAAGTAAAAGAAAATAGAGGAAAGAACTATGAAGCAAAGGACACTTATAGAGGTATAAATACAGGCATGTACATTATATAAATGTATATATAATGATAGGGAAAGAGATCTATGTACATATATTTATAGGTTTAGTATTAAAGGTAGCAGGTGGGCATTGGGCCTCTACTAAAGTACTCCCTCAATGCAAGAACACTTTGTTTTAATAATCTGGCATTCTGTGATGCCCAGCTATCAAAAGATATAGCATCTGGGGTCTTACAGGCTTGAAGATAAACAAGCGGCCATCTAGCTGTGAATCAACAAAGCCTACATGGAAGAAGCACACCAGCCTGTGTGATCATGAAGTGTCGATGGGATCAGTGATCTGGCATCAAAAACCCAGAACAAAAAAAAATCATTATCAATGTGAATAAGGGGGAGTGTGGAGCAGAGACCAAAAGCCGATCTATAGACAACTGGACACACCCTTACAGAAGCGTCACAAGGAAAAGACGAGCCAGTCAGGGTGCAGTAAAGCACCAATGAAACATACAACTTTCCTCTAGTTCTTTAATGCTTCCCCTCCCCCACTATCATGACCCCAATTCTACCTTACAAATCGGTAGAATTTGACTAGACCATGTACATGGGGTTACAGATAAGAGCTGGAAACACAGGGAATCTAGGACAGATAAACCCCTCAGTACCAATAATGAGAGTAGTGATACCAGGAGGGCAAAGGGAAGGTGGGAGGAGAGAGGGGGAACCAATCACAATGACCTACATATAACCCCCTCCCAGGGGGATGGAGAACAGAAAAGTGGATGAAGGGAGACATTGTTAAGTGTAAGACATGAAAAATAGTAATTTATGTAAATTATCAAGAGAAGCTGATACCAAGGGCTCAAGTAGAAAGAAAATGTCTTGAAAATAATACCAACAAATGTAAAATGTTCTTGACACAATGGATGTATATATGTATTGTGTCAAGTGTTGTATGAGCCCCCAATAAAATGATTTTTAAAAAAGAAAAAGAAAAAATACACAGCACAAAAGATTAAAAAAAGATAAGAGATAATGTGGTGTGCTGATATTTGGATTAGTATCTCTTATCATTTGACATCTGAACAATCATCTAAAAGTGTGAGCCACTTACATATGCACTGGTGCTCCACGAAATGGGAATCATATCCTGAGGATTCTGATCTCTAGCTTTGTTCTTTTTTTGAAGGCAGTGTTAACTAATGGTTAACAAGGCTCTAGATGGAAACTAGCTGTGTTTGAATCTTGTGAGTGATGACAGTTCTGCCACTTCCTTATTGTTTACTTTAAGCATTAACTTTAAATTCATGGAAAAGTGGAATCCAACGACCACGGAATTTTTCCACTTTTTGAAGCCTCATATTTCTCCACTTGAAAAATGAGGATTAAATGAGTTAATGCATGCAGATCAATGCACATGGCACACAACCTACCTTGATATGTTATTTTTATTATTACTAACAACAACAAAATCCTTAGTTGAAGAGAATGGATTTTACACAAGGATGAGTTTGCGTACATGACATAGGATACTGGACAAAGAGTCTCCAAGGGTAGAACATCCACAAAAGAAGAGCCACAGAGTAACCTGGAGAAGAGCAGGGAAAGGCAGCAGTCAGTCTGACAGAAGAAGCAGTAAGTAAATAGCACTGAGACAGAAATTAGATTGCAAAAAACAGTAACAATAAAACAAAAACACTGATGGGAGCACATGGGAGCAGTTGAAGGGGAAGGAGAGTGGAGCACATCCTGGCCCACCAGGCCTTGAGGACGATGTTCCCATTTAAAGCAGCCAGTCCACAAAGAGGACCACATGGCCGGCCCCACTATGAGACATGACGCCCCTCACTGACCCATAGCCCTACAGGGGACAACACACCGGAGACAGTGTGGGAACTGCGCCTGATCTGATCCAGTCACAACGAGGCAAAACACAAATGGGGTGCAACAGAACAGCAAGGGAACAGAGCAGCAAGGTCCCCAGGGAATGTTGAAGGTGGACTTTGGGGCTAGGGCGTGGTGCCCCAACAGACTATAGACTGGAAAACATTCCTAAAGGCCAACAAACAGTCCTTGAACTACAAGCTTTTCTTTCTTGTTGTGTTTTGCTTTGTTTTTTTGTCACTGGTTTGTTGTTATTGTTGTTTTGTTGTATATTGTTGCTTGGTTTTGCTCTGTCTTGTTTTTGTGCATGTTATTATCTCCACAGGTCTGTCTAAACAAGGCTGGATGAATAATCTGGAGGAGAAGACAATGGACTGACAGTTCTGGGGGGACATGGGAGAGGAGGAGGCAGGGGAAAGGAAGTGGGTGTTAACACACCCAGGGACAAGGGAACAACAAGTGATCCAAATTGGTGGTGAGGTGGGTGTAGTAGGCCTGGTAGGGCGTGATCAAGGGTAACGTAACCAAGAGGAATTACTGAAACCCAAATGAAGACTGAGCATGATAGTGGGGCAAGAAGAAAGTCAAAGGA